ACTAGCGTTGACAGACGCTAAGTATGAGGGCCGAGGTGAACCTGGCCAAGGTCCGATCTACCGGGAAGCTCGGTGGGGGCCGATGTGAGCTACTGTCAGCGGCGTGATTATCGGATGTAACCGTCGGTCTCGAGATTACCGGGTGTAACCGACGGTCCCGAGATTACCGGGTGTAACCGTCGCGAGATTAGCGGGACTACCACCCATAAGTAGAGGACCTCACTCCACGATCAGGTACGATGATTTCTGACCTCGAACTAAACTGGGAATCCGACCTATACTGACTTGATCGTCGGAATGCTCACCTTTTTGTGCAGGTCTGCCCAAGTATTCAGATCGGTCAGAAGGCCGAGTTCGAGCTGCAATCAGAAATACACTGTTGTGCATATCCTTGCATAAACAATAGTATAGATAAATAAACACTCGAACAAACCATTAAAATATCATTAATCTCCCTTGTGTTGAAAATTCAAATTTCTATCATTGCACTTACAATTATTAAGATACATTCTACCTCCAAACGGTGTCTCATTGGCAACAATTTTGGGTCTCATAGTCACATAGATTTAGAGGTCTCTCGAGGGTTAAGTGAGTGCAAGCTACCCAACAATGATTCCAGATTATAAAAATAAAAAATATATAAAGGTACATTCTTATTTATAAAAATAGATTAAAAAGGGCAAAAAAAGAAAAAAGAAATATTGAGCGTTTTAGTTTTAGAGTAGTTTCTCTCTCTCATTCCATTTTTCGATCTTACAGTCCCATTCGTCACTCGGCCATTGCGGCTAGGGTTTTTCCTCTATCAATTCATAACTCTGTTTTCAATTTCTACCATTAACCCGATTTTGTTTTCTACAGATCCGTTCCATCTTTGGGTTACAGATTCATGGAGTTCTTGTTAAGGTAGGGTTTCGTGGTCGCCTTTCGCGGAGAGGATTTTACTTTGAGCTTTTCGGGTATTATTGGTTTAAGATAGTTCGGAAATGGCGACCATGAATCCCTTTGATTTGTTGGGAGATGATGACGCCGAGGACCCATCGCAGCTAATTGCGGCTAAGCAGGTGGCGCCGCCGCCGCTTAAGAAAGGGTCCGATCATGGTCTCGCCAAACAAGCGCCTGCCGCACCTAAACACAACAAGCCTGCTAATCTTCCTTCCAAGCCTCTTCCACCTGCGCAGGCTGGTATGTATGTTATATCTGGATTTGATTTTGATATTCCATCTTTTTGTCGCTGTTCTTCCTGTCTAGATTGGCTTTGCATCAAGTTGTTTCTCCACTTGCTTTCATGGTTACATCGTTCAAGTTGTTGGTTATGTAACGTTACAATTGCTTACCCAGGTGTAATGGGTGATAACTGCTTTAAATTCAGTCAAAATGTTTTAAATTATGATTACTTTTATCTGCTAAAGGTTCGTTGTATCAATAGCCGGCTCGGTCGTATTCTGTATTTACACAATCCAAGGCTTTGGATTTCAAATTTATTTGTAATTCAGATAATATTCAGTGGCTTGTTTGCTAGGCTAGGCTGCCATGTTTGGAACATTAATGAAGTGAGAGTATCAATGCTTGTATTTTTGGAGGAAATCTGAGTGTCAGCAATGCGGATATGGTTTTATAACTAAACTGATTCGAGAAATTTCTTTTTGCATTTCTCAGTTATTTATTTATTTTTTAGATGTAAGTTTTCTTATTATGCTATGTTTGTTTGTGCATGCTCAATGGTGATCACATAGAATTTGAATTTGTTGATAATTATTTACAAGTTGGATTGGAATGTTATGATTGGTTCTTGATTTGTTGTCTTTTGCATTAGTTTCTCAATGGAAGATAGTGGGTTTCAATATTTTCCTCGGAGAATAATTGATGCTATTAGAATTCTTATAACTTTTTGGTGCGAAAATTCCATGTTTTGTAAAGAAATCATGAGTTGGAGAACCAAGTGTTGGAGATGCGTGATAAAGCTTAATTGCATGAAGACAATATTTGCATATTTATCCGAATTGTGGAATGTTGTACAGAATTGGTTGGTCCCATTATTGCATTCTTGAATATTCCTGAATCTTGATAAGGAACCTGGAAGTCTGCATTCAATTTTTTATTCTTTTGTTGAACATAGTTTTTCTTTCTAATTATTTTGTCACCAAAATGACAAAATTATTCTTATGTAGTTTTAGCCCACTTTCTTTTGTTGGTTCTTGATTATTTCTCTTTCTCCTTTTGGAGGTTGTTTCCTTTGTATCTTTTCATCCATCAATGAAAAAATTGTTTCTTTGAAAAAAAACCATTTTGTCACAATGTTACATCATAATTTTTTGACCTACTATTTCTTATTCTATTGGGTTCTCATGAGTGATCCCCCAATTGGTATGAATTATCCATTGAGTAACTGAGAGAATGTTGTTCATACTTTGAGTAGTAAGGGAAGCAAAGAATGATGGTGGTCGTGGAGGGCGTGGCAGTCGGCGTGGTGGAGGGGGACGTGGATATGGACGAGGCCGTAGCAGTGGTGGCTTCAATCGTGACTCTGCCAGTAATGACTACTCATTTAGTAGTCCCCCTGAAGATGGAGAGACTGGAAGGACAACTGAAAGGCATGGATATGGTGGACCTCGTGGACGTGGTGGGCGTCGTGGTGGTTTCAACAATGGAGAGGTTGCAGATGGGGAGTACCCTCGTGGTGGATTTGAACGCCACAGTGGAACTGGGCGTGGGTGTGTGATTTTTGTAAAACCAATTTACTCAATTCTGCTCCGTTCTACTCTGTTTTGATATTTGCAACCTGTTTTATGCCTAGAAATGAATTCAAACGTGAAGGGGCTGGGCGTGGCAACTGGGGAAGGCAAAATGATGAATTTTCTGAGTAAGTACATGTGTGTCATCTGGATGTTATTGTTGTTGTGGGTGGTTTTTTTCCTTATTCCTTTCTTTTTTTTTTCCTTTCTGTGGAAGGGTCGGTGGAATTTTTTATGCATTTGTAAACTCTTGTGCGCTAATAAGGTTATTTTTTTCTCCTTAACAATAGGATGTACTTTAACATTGTTATTTTGCATACAGGGTAGCAGAGGAAGTTGTAAATGAAACTGAGAAGAAGGTAGGTGATGAGAAGCCAGTTCATGAGGATGATACTGCAGGTGTCAACACAGAGAACTCTGCTAAAGAATCGGAGGAAAAAGAACCAGAAGATAAGGTTAGTATCTTCTAATTTAATGGTAGATTTCACTTAAACCTGCAGGCTACCATTTCACTTGTCATTGGTTTTTCTTGTTGTTTGAGCAAGCAATTTGTGTTTTTGCTTTTGAGTATCAAACAAATTAAATGCACATTCAATTTACAAATCAGAGTTGTAAATTTGACTAAGTTGATGGGCTTGGATTGTGAACTTAATTATACTGTTTGACTTGATCTTTAATCTACTATCTACTCTTTTTTCCCTGATGCAGGAAATGACTCTGGAGGAGTATGAAAAATTGAGGGAGGAGAAAAGGAAGGCCCTTCTGGCTCTGAAAACTACTGAGGAAAGGAAGGTGGATGCTAAAGAATTTGCATCCATGCAACAAATTTCAAGCAAAAAGGACAACAATGACATTTTTATTAAATTGGTACACCTACTCAATCTTCTTTCAGAGTTAAAATTATCTGTTGATCTGATGACCCTTTGCCTTTTGGTGTTACATCAAATTTGGACTTGACTTGCCTGTTCCATCTTCATTTGTTCCCCTTTTAGGGATCTGATAAGGATAAGCGAAAAGAAATTACAGATACGGAGAGAACTAAGAAGGTACTACCTCATTTATATTTCCTCCTCCTTTTTTATTATGAAATTTTTGTTTCTTAGAAAAAGGAAGTGGTAAAAAAGGCACTATTGCAATGCTTTTTATTGTTTCTATTTGTAATCTATTCCTTTAAGAAATTCAAACGGGTTTTCTTAGCTCCAAGGGTAGCCCAGTTGGCAAGGGATTTGGGTCTCTTGGTCTGGCTTAGAGGTTTCAAGTTCGAATCTTCTAGTGAGCTTAATACCAAAAACCCTTGATGTCTCCTGGATCCGAACCTTAGGGCAAGCACAGGTGCCCTTGGGTATAGGGGAGCAAATCTCCGACTTCCAGTTATTAAAAAAAAAGGGTTTTCCTGCGGCATTGTTTACTTTGAATGACTTTTCGGATGCCTTCTTCTGTTTGGAACAGATTTTGAAAAATTAAGACTTTGAATGAAGAACTGAGTTGATTTGTAAGCGTTTTACAGATCGGTTGTTTATTAAAATAATCTTTCCATTCGTCTCCTACATTATGTCTATAGATTGAATAGGATAGTAATTTTCTTAATTTAGGAGAAATATATATTGTGACAAGGTTAAACTAACGATCTTTCTGTTGTTTTCTTTTATGTTTTTTAGTCTCTGAGTATTAATGAGTTCTTGAAGCCTGCCGAAGGAGAGAGGCACTACACTCCAGGTGGCCGGGGTAGGGGCCGAGGCCGTGGTTCAAGGGGAGGTTATGTTGGCAGCTCAATGAGCAGCAATGTTGCCGCCCCATCGATCGAGGACCCGGGGCAGTTCCCTACCTTAGGAGGTGCGAAGTGAGTTTCTGAATAAATTGCCCTCAAAAGGTATGTTTTCTGGTTTTGGGCGCATATTTCTATTTGGTGATGTGGGGCAAGAAGTTGACTAGAATAATAGAATTTTCCTTCCCTGTATCAGAAAAAAGATAAGTTTATTTGTTTAAATGTAAATTGTCAAAGCCTTGTATTTTTCCTTGTCCATTTTCCATTCTGTGTTTTCAGACGTGCCATATCAAACTATTTTCCCATTTATCTATGACATTTACCCTATAGCATATTGTCTTTTTCTTCCTCTTTTGTTCTCCTTGCTTTGGAATTCTCAAATAGGAGGATAAATACCATTGATCTTCCTCATTTCAAGATTATAGTGTTGCATTAGAATAGTTGGCTTTGAGTTGGGGTGAAACTTGGTGTTAGGGAATCAGTTCGAGATCGACTCGAAGATTACATATATCCAACTTGTTTTTAGAGAAAGTAACCCGGTCGGTCAGTTGGAGACATTCGATTGCAACAAGGAATAAGACTTGCCTGCTTTTATTTATAATTACATCATCAAGTGATATATTATTTTATTTTATCGTCCCACAGCATTCTTAAATAATTTTGATTTTGGAAATTTTCTTGGGCAAATAGTCTTACAAGTTTGACCATTGGTTTTGTCATATAATATAATTGCATGGAAAATCACATTTGCGGTCATAAGTGCTTATCATCACAACCACTTTAGAACCATACCTTTTTATAATAGGATACAATTTTCAAGATCCTTACTATCAAATCTAGTTTTCAAATTAAAAATTTTTAATCAGTTACTGATGATGGAGATCAAACCAAATAGGTTTTAATTTAATTTTAATTATTATTTTTAACTTCGGGTCTTGTACAAAATCATATTTTTCCAATAGGTTTGGAGATGCTCACTATTCTTCTACTGTGTAACTTAAGTTTGTATAGCTCTTTCTTGGAGTTTAACAATGGAAGGTGGGAGATTGAACTATCAATTTTTTGAATGGTAATAGGTATCTTATCTTGAACTATGCTTGATTTGACACACACGGCCATTCTTTTGCACTATTTAAAGAGAAGTTATACAAACTTTTATTTACTTAAACTATTTTTTAACAAGCTCAAACTATATCAATCTAAAATTCAGATTCTATTTATTATTTTTAGATTTACTGATTTATTTAGGGGATTTGTTTTTTAAAACTATTTTTTTGATTTTGTAATTAAAATAGTGGAAATTTTAAAAATAACACTAAAACTTTAAAATGCAGAATTACATTAAAAAATGATAAAAATATATCATAAATTCATTTTATTTTTTGTTAAAATTAGAACATGTATAATATAATATATTATAAATTATATAATATTGTGAAATAATAATTATTCAAAATTTATAATAGCCAAATGCAATCTAACAAATTTATAACAACATTTCAAGAAATTAGAACTTGTTTAGTGTGTGATGAGGCAGTGTTGGAAATTAAGTGTTAAATGGATATAATTTTCAAAGGATACTTTGCCGAAATTTTCATATTATTCTCTAAGGCTAAAGTTTGCACCCCCCCTTTCACGACCTCTCAATGGTAGGATTTTCGAGAAATATGGCAACAATGCTAGAAAATTGGATTGCAAAGTTCGAACGTGTTGAAATGGACGATAATTGAAGATGCTGGAGAGATCACGAGAGTCGGAGCTCGGATTGATGTGAACAAACTGTTGGATTTTTAATATGTGAAAGAAAGTGGAAAAACCGTTGAGTATACGAATTTAACATCCAAAAATTAAATTCTTATATTAAGAATTTGAAATTTATTTTATATTTTGTAACAAATTCCATATTTATTTCTTTTGTCATGTTTATTAATTTTATTAAAATTGAAGTTATATGTTTAAATAAAGAGTTGTTTCTTAATCTTTGTTAAAGTTACATGTGTAAAAAGGTTACATATGTGAGAGGTTACATATTTGTACAACTATATATATATGTGTGAAGTTATGTTGTTGATTTCCTCGTTTGAGATCAAGCTTTCTCATTTGAGTTTCTCCTTATCTCATAAGAATTATCTCTTCTTTTGAGTTGTTGTTATTGTTTATGTTGAGAGCAAGTATCTAAGAGTTCTGCCCGATCTGAGTAGTTGGAGGTTGCTTTTCTACCGAGGTTAGTCGTTGAATCCTGCAAAGACGATCGCTGTAGTTTGCTAGCTGAAAGGATCAAATTCCACAGTGGAAGCGCGTGAACACTTGTGCTTCGATTTGTTTTAGGAAAAACTACAAAGAAAAACAAATAAGCAACAAAAGGAAAGATACACTACCTTTGAAGACCGTTCTTCAACAATAGCCCAACCCACCAAAAAAGTCTTCCCTCCTATTCTCTTGGCAAGAATCGATTTGTGGGAACCTTCTTTTGAAACTGAAGGAATTTGGTTTTCGTGAGAGAGCTATTTGAGAGAGAGTGTTCAACCTCTGAACAAAATTGATCACTACTCCCATTGAGGGAGAGGAGTGGGGAGGACACAACCTCCCCACCCACCAACTTCCCACTTTTTGTAAGGGGGTGGGTTATTTAATTAAATTAAAATTAATTAATTAATTAATTAATCAATTATTAAACGAATTAATTAATAATAATTAAATATCATATATTTAATTAAAGATTTATTTGAATCATATTCAAACGTATATCTCTCTCATAACATATAGTTTTAATGTGAATGAGATTCACATTAATTTTAACCAATAATTTTAATATGAATTGGATTCATATTAATCATTTTCTGAACCTTATTCAAATATAACTCTTATATTATATAGTTTAATTATAAATGTAATTCAGAATTAACTTTATTTATGATGTATCTATATACATTATATTAATTGTATCTTATACAATTAACCTACATTCTCTTAAATAAGTTGAATCCCTTAAATTCTTTCACAATTCTTGATCCTTGTTTTACCCGTTGTGAGCTAGCGGGGACCTAATGGACCTACACATCAGAAGCTCTAATGATACGAGATTAAATAATTAAATTCATTAACTAAAATAATCAACATTCGTTAATTGTGGGTTTTGCGTCCATGGATATTGATAATTAACATTAAGTCAATCCTTCATGAGCGTTTGTAACTTCAGATGGGTCAAGTTCTTGTTTTACTCATGAGTTACCTCTTTCTCCTTTAGTACCACTATCCTCTAATGAACAACCTGTTTATAGTCCAACCATCAAACAAAAGTTCTTCTAGGGCCAATGACAGGGTGGGGCCCCTTGTTCAAGTTCCAGAGTCAACATTTAAGGAAACACTCATCTACTTTCCCTAAAGTCGGGAAGAAGTGAATTCCATCTTATGTAGTTATGTTCCCAACTCCCCACTCGGTCTCGTCCCCAAAATGGTAGAAATATTAAGTCGGCGACCCACTCTCACCCATACAAATCAAATGACGATTCCTTATAGGCAGGAGTCCATAACTCACTCAGGATTGAGATTGAGTTACTTGGTATTCATATGAAATAATAATCTATTAGTTAACGGTGTTACATATAAAGATTAATTATTTCGCGGTCCTATCTCATACAAACTCATTGCATAGGATACCTCCACTCTCATGTCTCCACATGAACGATTTGGATTAAGTCGTTTGTAATTATTACAAAGTGGGTCGTATCCATAATGTTACCAGGATAAGGTACCCAACCTTACCCATATACTATAAGTCTTTTAGGTTATTACTGGAACATTATCCACCTGTATATCGAATATATACTGTATTATCAAATGTATACCCTCTATATCAATTATATATTGTATATCAATTATATACTGTTCCAATTACATGACATAACCTCGAACGTTAGTTTATTGGATTTTGATTAATGCAATTCTAAAAGAAACTTCAATAACAGGTTTATTGAATAAATATTAATTTTACATTTAAACCACGAGTTTAGAGCATAAAACTCAACATAACAACTTGTGCATAGTAAATAATTGTCTTCAGGTCAGTGCTATTGAAGCATGTCTTAACTATATTTATCAAGTTTTTATGGGATGAGAATCCCGCAGCAGAAGTGATGATCTATGTTCATGAATTTTGAGAGACAAAAAAAAAAACATAAAACAAAACTTGAAATACAGGGGAAAAGAACATTTCTTACCTTTGAAGAACACTTCTTCAAGTAAAACACCAACGAACACCACCAAATGGTCTTCCGTGCTATCCTCTGGGTACCAAGAGCATGCTTGTGGGAGCGTTCGATATGGAACTAGAAGGAATGAAGAAGAGAGAGCTTGAGAGAATTATGCTGGGAGTTCTTGGGTGTTTCTTGTTCTGTCCTACCAGCGGAACAGTTCTGCATTCAAAACCAACAAAATGACGTGGGTGTTGGGTGTGTTGCCCAAAACTCGTAGTTTATATTAGTGTAAGAACAAATGTATATTCAATAAAGTTTTATTCAATAGATTTGTTGTTGAATTCATAGCATTGCATTGTCCAAAATCCAATAAACTAAACATCCGAGGTTATTTTAGTGTAACCGGGACAATATATGTACTTGGTATATATTTGATATACTGGGTATATATTTGATATACCCCTGATATATGAGATATATATTTGATATACCCTGATATACAAGTGGATAATGTCCCGTGAATAACCTAAAGGGTCTATAGTATATGGATAAGGCCGAGTACCTTATCCTGGCAACACTATGGATACGACCCACTCTGTAAAGGTTACAGACGACTCGATCCAGGTTGTTCGTGTGGAGACATGCTAGTGGGGGTATCCTATACAATGAGTTTGTACAAGACCGGACCACGAAATAGCCAATCTTTAGATGTAACACCGTTAGCTAATAGATTGCTGTTTCTTAGGATGACCAGACAACTCATTCTCAATCCTGAGTGAGTTATAGACTCCTGCCCGTGAGGGCTCGTCCTTTGATCTGTATGGGTGAGCGTGGCCCGAGTTGTCGACTCAATATTCCTACCATTTTGGGGACGAGACCGAGTGAGGAGCTGTGAACATAACTTCACAAGATGGAATTCACTCCTCCCCGACTTTAGGGGAGTAGATGAGTGTTCTCTTAAATGCTGACTCCGGGACTTGAACAAGGGGCCCCACCCTCTCATTGGCCCGAGAGGGACTTCCGGTTATTGGTCGGACCATAACCGGGTTGTTCATTAGAGGAGCAGTGGTATTTAAGGAGTAAGATGTAACTCAGGGGTAAAACGGTAATTTGATCCAACTTGAGTTACGAGCACTCGTGAAGGATTGAC